ATTGGACACCTGTAGATAAAAAAAAAAAAAAAAAAAAAAAAACTGCACAAGGGTGGAACATTGTTACACCATTATAAAGCATGAAGAGAGAGATATTCATCAATGCTTCTGGGCTTCTTTCCTTGTTCTGAAATATATATTTTTTTTTGATAAGATTTTTCTGAAATATTTTTGAATTCTGCTCATTTCAAAGCACCCAAATAAATGCTCAGTTGATACGCAGCCATATGACTCTCTTAGCTTGCCTGAATTCAGCCAATCAGTCATACTGTAGGGGATGGCGAAGGGTCAACCATTGCTTCAAAAAATTCATCCATATTTTTGAGGTGAAAGTACCTATGCACAGATAAATGCGTAGGTGGCTCATTATCTGCTTTACAAAGGGAGCACCAATTGGGGGATTGGTCGATCCATGTGCATCTTCTTTGCACTTGATAGTTGGAAGGAAAGAGTGACTGAGCTCCCAATGAAGATATTTGATCTTTCTTGGGCTTATTCTTTCCATGTAATCTTGTAGAGAGTTGCTGCAGGATAATACTTCCTTGTGTTAAGGCTGTGGCGCAAAAAGACTAATTGGTAGTCCCTTACTTAAGGTGGATCTGAAAGTAAACCAATTAATGACAAAATAACCAGCCAACGAATATACTAACAGCTCAACTACCAAGTCCAATTACCAACTAAGAACGAACAAACTCAAAACCAAAATTATAGGATTAAACCTTAATCATGATATTTCCACATCAAGGCAACAACAAAACTTTTAGACACATTATCTACTAGAAGATTTCTCAACCTTAGATCTGAAGCCAAATGATGTGCGTCCTATTACTCTTTGTAAAGGTAAACATATGTACCTTTCCTATTTTCCTCTTTTATTCCTTAGTTCTATTTCAATTCCTAAGTCTGCTCATAAAGTTGTATCTCATCTTTGCTCGTATGATGTAGATAGATGATTGGTTTAGATGATAGTACTACTTTAAACTTTAGTATTTTCTTTTGGAGGAAAGAAGGGATTGGGTGTAAATGGATGTTTGCAATCAAGTTCAACTTTGATGGATTGGCTACTTGACTGAAGAATGTGGTCTTATGCTCAGAACATTGAATTTGTGGATATCAATTGTTGATTGAGCTTGGTTTAAGCATCACAATTGGACCAAGTTGTGGTGTGACAGTTGAGTTGCTTGATGTATTGCGTCCAACTCTAATGATCACTCTTAAAA